CTAAAAGTAGAAAAGCAATCACCAAAGAAACCTAAACTGAGAACTTGGGAATGAAAAAATTAAGAATCTGAAAAGGAACCTTATTAGCAGGATACAAGAGATGGAAGTCAAAAAATGTTAATTAAAAAAATGTTCAGCCTATGAAATGAAAGTCAGGTGATAGCATTGATTGTTTTCTGGAATAAGTTAGAAATTGAACTGTGTTATAAAAGCATAGTTAAAAATGACCTTATGTGTGTATTAATGATATGGACTTAGATTGTGTAGCATGATTTCCATGTGCCCATGAACCTCAGTATCATACAGCACAAGTCTAACTTATCCTTCGTCTCAGCTACGTTTTTAATCCATATAATATTTATTTATTCAGAATTAGAAGTAGCTGGAAATACCATCAAAAGAATTCTATTACTTCTGATTATTCATCATCTTAGGATTCTCTCTAGATTTCATTATCCTAGAGTATATATTATAAGTCCCCCTGGATCATGTGTCAAAAAAGGGAGAGCTATTTCTCTCTGTGTAGCAGGAAAGTAACACTTTATTTTTAGATGAAAACCAGGAGTAATTTCCTCCAAGGTTTTTCAAAGTCTTTATAGAAGACTTCTTTCAATTTTGACTTACTACCAGGCCAAACCCATATCAATTTCATTAAAAGTTATGGGGTTTATTTTCTGTATTTCTTTGGTGCAAAGTAAAATAAATGTCAGAGTGTAATTAAAAGTGACTTTTCAAGAGTGGGTGCTGAGTGACATCAAAGGAAATTTATTAGAGAAGAATCATTTCATCTCAAAGACGCTGGGGCTCTAGTGCTGAATAGCTACCTAAAGTCAAGGGAGTTATTATTTTTGAACATATATAGCTTAGAGGGATATATGTATAGCTATACAAAACCAATAAAACACTCCTTTCTATTACACTGGGATTTCATATAGATTCTTAAGTGGAGAACCATTCTTGAATTCAGCTCATAGCAAGGGAAAGCAAAATCACAGCAAATGTCTAAAAGCAGTAAAAGCTGAACAAGGCATGGGCATAGGACTGTGTGCTAGAGTAGATGAGTGAAATTTCACACTGTAAAGCCCTTTATGTCATTAACAATAAGGGACTCTAAGAGCAATTGTACTTATATTTTATGGTATATAAAACATAGAAAGATTAAGATACTATGGCTAGTTTTAAGAGTATTCACAAGTTTGCATTCCCACCAGCAATGGATGAGGGTACCCCTTCCTCCACAACCTCTCCAGCAAAGGCTATCATTGGTGTTTTTGATTTTAGTCATTCTGACAGATGTAAGATGATATCTCAAAGTTGTTTTGATTTGCATTTCCCTGATCGCTAAGGAGGTTGAGCATAACCTTAAGTGCTTCAAATGGCTTTTGGCCATTTGAACTTCTTCTGTTGAGAATTCTCTGTTCAGATCAGTGCCCCATTTTTTAATTGGGTTAATTAGCATTTTAACATCTAGTTTCTTGAGTTCTTTATATATTTTGGAGATCAGACCTTTGTCTCTTGCGGGGTTGGTGAAGATCTTCTCCCAGTCAGTGGGTTGCCTTTTTGTCTTAGTGACAGTGCCCTTTGCTTTGCAGAAGCTTCTCAGTTTCAGTAGGTCCCATTTATTCAATGCTCCCCTTAATATCTGTGCTGCTGGGGCTATACATAAGAAGCGATCGCCTGTGCCCATCTGTTGTAGGGTACTTCCCACTTTCTCTTCTATCAGGTTCAGTGTGTTCAGAATGATATTGAGGTCTTTGATCCATTTGGGCTTGAGTTTTGTGCATGGTGATAGATATGGGTCTATTTTTCATTCTTCTACAGGTTGACATCCAGTTGTGCCAGCACCATTTGTTGAAGATGCTTTCTTTCTTCCATTGTATACTTTTAGCTCCTTTATCGAAAATGAGGTGTTCATAGGTTTGTGGGTTAAAATCCGGGTCTTCTATACGATTCCATTGATCAACTTCTCTGTTTTTATGCCAATACCACACTGTTTTTATTACTGTAGCTCTATAATAGAGTTTGAAGTCAGGGATGGTAATGCCTCCCGAAGTTCCTTTATTGTATAAGATTGTTTTGGATATCCTGGGTTTTTTGTTTTTCCATATAAAGTTGATTATTGTCCTCTCAAGATCTGTGAAGAATTTTGATGAGCTCCCAATGTCCCAATGAGGAGCAGAAGGAGGGAGAATATGAGCAAAGAAGTCAGGACCACGAGGGGTGAACCCACCCTCGGAGACAGTGGGGCTGATCTATTGGGAGTTCACCAAGGCCAGCTGGACTGTGACTGAAAAAGCAAGGGATAAAACCGGACTCTCTGAATATGGCGGACAATGAGGGCTGATGAGAAGCCACGGACAATGGCACTGGGTTTTGATCCTACTTCATGTTCTGGCTTTGTGGGAGCCTAGCCAGTTTGGATGTTCACCTTCCTAGACATGGACGGAGGGGGGAGGACCTTGGACTTTCCACAGGGCAGGGAACCCTGACTGCTCTTCAGACTGGAGAGGGAGGGGGAGAGGAGAGGGAGGAGGGGGGAAAAGGGAGACAGGGAGGGAAATGGGAGGCGGGGAGGAGGCGGAAATTTTTTTTTCAATAAAAAATTTATATTACAAAAAAAGAGTATTCACCCCTATATCAGTTTGAAAGAATGCCTATCATTTAGAGAAACTGATTGATGAGTATGTAGTTTGAATTATGGCTGCATTTTCTTTACTTTTTAAAAAAAATCAACAAGGGAACACATTTTCAAATTGGTCTCCTATGAATCAAATATCTTTAATCTCCTTAATTTTAAAGGCTCAAAGGAACAGAGATGACTCTGAAACAACATGGTTTGTATTTTTATCTTTCATCCTACATGGAATATGAGCTTTCTGCCCAAGGGTAGATATAGTCTCCGAATAAAATCTTATTTTCCAACACAGCTAGAGAAGAATCTTGGTTATTACTGTTGTCTTCTATAGTTTATATAATATTATTTACACAGACAAGTTTCATAAATCTGTAATTCTAGATTCATTTACTATAAATAATCCTAAGCTAGGGGATCCTGTAAAAAGGATTTCACTGGAAATGTTCTTTCTTAGTAAATAACATTATTCTATTTACCTAGAAGCCAAGGAAATTTCTGATAAGGACTTGAGGTCAGATTCCTAGCCGTGTTTGTTTCCCCACAGATATATCTCACAGACTGCAGCTGTGTTAAGTTCTCCCTCTTATAGTTTCTTTCCTTAATGGCACATTGCCTTAACAACTGGTACACAGACATGTGCATTCATTAGTATTCTTTCCACTATCTCTTTATGGAAACTGTGAAGATACTGTGAAACACTGCCTTTTTTAAAAGCAAGAATTCAGGAACAAGAGTCTCTATTATTGCCAAAAACTTATGCTTTTAAATAAAATGCCATGAGGTTTTGATGACTGAATAAGATAAAGATAATGTAATCTAAATAGTGCTGAGTAATTTTTAGCTGTTAAATTATTATAATTCTTGTCTTATGCTATTGATTATGATTATGAGAAAGAGCATAAAGTATGAAGATTTTGAAGTCAGTATTGTATGGTTTTCTGTTCACATCTTAAATGGTTTTGTAATATAAATGGAATAATTTATTTTAACATTAAAATTTTTTCTACATATGAACCATGCTTGCTGAAAAATACTCAAATAAATTAAAAAAAATTAAATGTTTATTATTTTTCACCACTATACAATACTTGCTCCTAACATTGTATTTTGTATACTACTTTCAGTTTGCATTTTAGGTATATGCAATCTATTTATTACTCTATATCCCTCTTATATTTATATAAAAAATCATTTTCTTATTGCAAAGATTCTTTTGGTTTCATCATCCTAATCATCACTTCATAGGGATCTTTACATGTTTTTTAGTAACATTTCTTCTCTTTTTTAGTAATATAGTAGATTTATTTTTAAAGGATAAAACACTCAGACAATTTAAATACAAGTCCAACAGAACTGCTGTCTGTAAGCCATGATGCAATCAGGTGTTCTCAGAGACTTCCTGGTGAAGAAGAAGGCTCTGATATTTTATTCATATACATTTTTCTTATCTGTGATGTAATCTACAATTTCTTGCAGACATATTAAATTCTCTGCATCTATATGAGAAATTTCAAACCCAAATTCATCTTCCATGGCCATAATAATCCCCACTTGGTCCAAAGTGTCTAAGTCCAGCTCCTTTCTGAAAATAAGAATTCACTGAGAGCTTTTCTGGGTCAATCTTTTAAGACATGCCACACTTAAATCCCTCTAATGTCAAAGGGGATGCGCCATTGTACTGCTGGCACAAGTGTGTGACTCTTTCAGGAACCTGCATGAGGGCCAAGGCAGATTGCAGAATCCTGGGCCTCCTCCTTTGGAAGGCGACCCAGCAGAAGTAGCCTTCGAGATAAATTCACATAGGTACATCACGTGGAATAAACCGCCTTTTGATTAGTTGTCTGTCTCTAACCACAGACTCTTTTGTGTGATAACATGCTCCCCTTTTAACTCAGCTTTGGAACCCTAAGCAGTGTATCTTTATACATCAGGCAAAATCTTCCTGTGTTCTGTTAGTAGGATGAATTCTTCCTAAGTTGTGTTTTCTGGCATTTAATAAGATAAAAAAAAAAACTTTCATAATCCAGTCTTTATCCAATTTTATGATGAGAAACTTTGAAGCCTGTTCTCTATCTATAGCCTGACCGACAGAGCAAATTAGCTAGATGGAACGTCCTTGTGGAGAGATCACCCGAGGAACATCCACAGCGCAGAACTGCAGGTGACTGTTCTATTAGACACAAGTCCTCCGAAGATTTATGACAATTAAGTGGTATTGCAGGCGTCTGGCCTTGTTGTATCACAGTCTTCAAAAGATCAATAACACCTATGTCTCCTTCATGGACACTTCTCAGCTCTGACTCAAAACTGCAATTAACATTTTGTACCAGCTTTTGATGCACTAAACCTTTTTTTTTTTTTTTAGGTCCTGAGATTCAGGTGATAAAAAAAACTTTATTATTGACTAAACATGTCCAGATATTATTAACCACACTTAAGAAATGTAATACAGTTTCCTGCTCAATAATCATCAAAATAGCTTTTCCCTGCGGTAGATGGGAGCACAGAAGGAGACATGAAACTGGGCAAAGTGCACACGCTGAGAAATTGTGGAATACTCAGTTCTAAATGGAATATTTCCATGAAATAACTTCCTCCTTGGCCCAGCAAGCCCTGCAGCAGAGGAGACAGTAAAGTTTTAAGAGCCAAAGGTGATGGAGAGGACCAAGGACACAATGCCTTCTAGACACAACATGGCTGGAGCAAATGTGAACTCAGAAATTGTGTCAGCATACACGGTACATATGCATGTCTAAGCCAGATGAGGTTCCAGCACTAAGATGGGGAGTGAACAAAAGTCTCTATTCCTGATCTAGACGCCATCTCCAATTGACAGCTCTTTACATAGGGAAGTTATTTTCTCTGATTGATTCTCAACGGGAATGCAAATCATTCTTAAGGGCATACTGTTATTAGATGAATGCACTCAGTGGTTATCTTGGAGGTATTTTTTTCTATCTACTCATCTTTTTATTTCCTATTTTATTTTACAATCCATTTTCTTATATATTATGGTTTCTACTTTTGAGGGTTTTTATTATTATTTTTTTTAAGTTAAAAATTTCCACCCCCTCCCTGCTTCTCTTTTCCCTCCCGCTCCCCCCATGCCCCATGCCCCATGCCCCACTCCCCACTCCCCTCCTCCTCTTTCTCCAGTCCAAAGAGCGTCAGGGTTCCCTGCCCTGTGGGCAGTCCAAGGTCCTCCCCACTCCTTCCAGGTCTAGGAAGGTGAACATCCAAAGGGTCAAAACTCAGTGCCATTGTCCTTGGCTTCTCAGCAGTTTTATGGGATTTTCTGTTCATAGAAAAGCATGTCTCTGTAACTATGTGTTTCTTATGATTTTTCCCTTGATCCCTTTTCTTCTGTTTCTTTCTGTCTTATTTGCTTCTTTGTTTTATTAGTATTTTTATATTTCAATTGGTTTTCTAATGAGAGAAAGAAAGTGCTTAGATTTGATGGACTAGGATATGGGAAGGTTCTGGGGGAAACTGGAGAAGGTGAAAACTTTTATAAGATCGTATACAAGAGAGGAGTGGGGGGAGGGGGAGAGGAGAGGGAGGAGGGGGGAAAGGGAGACGGGGAGGGAAATGGGAGGCGGGGAGGAGGCAGAAATCTTTTTTTTCAATAAAAAATTATATTAAAAAAAAAGATCGTATACAAGAATATATTCTCAATAAAACAAAAATGGAGAAAACAGCCACCTCAATTCTGAGTAGCACAAGTTTAGCTACATCTACCTGGTCTAGAGTTATACTAAAAAGCACATTGTGAATACCATTGAAAACTTTTATGTCCTTAAAATAAATACCTAGATTTAGCCAGGCAGAGAGTATATGGATTGGGCCCTAAAATGCCCTATTTATTATTTTCTTCCTTAAAGAGAATTGTGTGCTCTATCCCTTTACCTTACGTCATACAACTGAAGTTCTAAAGATTCATTGCATTTTAATCAGTAGTTTCTTTTGGTGTTCCTTCTTGTATTCACCATTTAAATATTCTTCTTTAGTAGTCAGAAACACCTGAATTTTTAGATCTTTTTTTTCCCCTATATTTTACAACGTGGTAGATGTCTAGCTCTTGTAAACCAGGCTGGCCTCGAACTCACAGAGATCTTCCTTCCTCTGCCTCCTGAGTGATAGGATTAAAGGTGTGCACAACCACCACTCGGCTCATGACTGTTCAATTCTTGAAGTACAGTAACCTGCATGCATGACAGTTAGCACATGAGGAACCCAATTTTTGTTGTCTCTGAGCCTGATTTTTCTAGTTGATCTGCTGTCAAATCTCTAACTCTTCCTTTGGACAAACAATAAAGTAGAAGAAGCCTTTGTTCCTACTTGGATATTTAATTTAATGATTATACCATTCATAAATATTCATTTAAATATTCTTTATTTTTTTCTCCAGAAATTTCCTCAATGAATCTTCTAATATTCTATCATTATTGATATGTAACAAGAACTGTAGTGGTCTGGGATGGATGTTAGTCAGAGACACAGGATGTTTTGTGAGGTACACCTGACATTTTTTTTTTTTAAATCCCAGTAATAGGAACAGTCATGGTATTAGGATTTTCTAATTCCAATACCTCCTGATGTGAAGAGAAGCACCATATTTAATTGTGTGGAGGTTTGATGTATAAAAGTGGCCCTTTGAGCTAAGGACCACAGATTGTTGATGACAGCAGATTTGCCTATTTATTTATTTATTTATTTATTTATTTATTTATTTATTAGCTCTTGCTAATAAATATTATTATATCAAGTGAACATCCTTGACTTTCCTTCCAGTGGGAAAGTGATGTCTATTTCTCAGAGTCAATCACTTTCAAACTTTAAATGAAAACATGGAAAAACAGCTCTGAACCGTCTTCTCAGAGGGTCAGCACAGGAGACCCTTCTCTGTAGCAATGCAAGAAAGGGAAGCGAAGTTGAAATGATGCCTTCTGAAGGATGCAGCTGATCAGTTTCCTACGGAGAACTTTTCAAATTGCCTTCTTTACCTGCAGTTCTAACAAATCAGAGGGTCCGTTTACTGGAATATTGATTTTGGTTTAGTAAGATTTAAAATTTTGTCAGTTAGGTTTTCTTTTTTCATTTCAGATTTATAAAATAGTGATGGCATGGGTAGGTTGGAAGCCAGAACTTCTACTTGCTAAGCGAGTGCTCTAATACTGAGTTAATCTCCAAGTCTTTGACTTAGTAGAATGGGTTTGGGAGTGTGGATTCTCTTAAAGAATTTTTGAGCAACGAAGTCAGAACCGCGAGGGGTGGGTCCACCGATGGAGACGGTGGGACTGATCTAATGGGAGCTCACCAAGGTCAGCTGGACTGGGACTGAACTAGTATGGGATCAAACCGGACTCTCTGAATGTGGCTGACAATGAAGGCAGACTGAGAAGCCAATGATAATAAACACCGGATTTTGATTCTACTGCATGTACGGGCTTTTTGGGAGCCTAGTCTGTTTGGATGCTCACCTTTCTAGACCTGGATGGGGCGGGGGCTTGGACTTCCCACAGGGCTGGGCACCCTGACTTCTCTTAGGACTGGAGAGTGAGGGGGAGGGGAAAGGAAATGGGAGGATGGGAGGAGGTGGAAATTTTTAATAAATAAATCTAATAAAAATAATTTTGAAATGATATTGCTGCTTAGCAGAGAACACATCACGTAGAATGGCCTTGAGATCCACTTCATTCCTGGTGTGTCAACCTCATTAGCCATAAGCCACCATTGTGTTCAAGTTTTAATTAGCTAACCAAGTATAATTCCACTGCTGAAGTCATCACATTAAATATAGAAATCTAAAGTCACTCTTATAAGGGAAATTTTACACATCAAGCTTTCTAAAGCTCCTTCAGCATTGTTCAATTACTTGTATTACCCATTTACATACAGTCAGGAATCCCTGCCTTTTTTTATTAATGTAAAATAATCTCTTCATGAGTCGGACATTGTACTTGTATATCCAAGCTATTTAGTGATCTAATTGCATCACAAGTTTAAAAGCTTTCAGTTAATTACTGCCACCAGACAAAATTGAATATTTTTAAAATAAATTTTTAGTTCCATAACAAAGTGAAAATTTTCATTTAAACCATTAAAGTTTAGTATTTCCTACCATATGCACCTATTTTTAGCTTTTCATTCATTTCCTACTAGTGTCCTTATTTGACTTGAACTGAGCTCTCATTATCTCTGTTATATTTAGGTGTTGGGCTTGGTCTACTGCCAATTCAGTTTCCCAGCTGCAGGTGATTAAAATTTCGAGGGGAATTTTCTAGTGCATGCTGGCATTTCTGATTCATGGTCACACAACTCAGCATCCTCTGGATCTCTTATATATTCTCCAGAACTTCATAAGTTCTGTTATTCCATCATTTCAAAGACTATTCTAGCTGTCCTATGGTAGTCAGAAGTTAGGGTAATAGCTACTTGCATTTTTGTCTCTTTTCCATTACCCCACACTTTATTCTAAGGGTAACAGACAGATCATTGCATCTCATACGTTCGTCAAGTTCATCTGTTGAAGTTTGCTATGAAATCGTTATGATCTGAAGGTGTGGAAAGCATAGATTATAGTTTAATTCCCACTATGTTGCATTAAAAACAATAAACTTTATCAGACTGTTTGCATTTAGAAGTATACCTTTGGGAGGTGGTGGCATTGTTTAAGCTCATAAGGGTATAGATCTCTGATTGAGTAGTGGGGGTTAGATATAAGGACAGAAATAAAAACTATGACATAGGGATTTCCTGTCTCTTTCCATGAGATGACCTGTACTCTCCCAACATGTAATCTATGACCAGTAAAGACCATGAACTTTCATAATTATTAACTAAGTTAACCCCTTTTCTTTATAATTTTATGTCACTTCACATATTTCTTTATACAATTTGAACTAATACAAAACTCTTAAAGTTGTTACAGTAAACTTATTCAGAAGTAAAATTAAATAAGAGGATATTCTAGTATGCTTACTGATTTCTTTCATAAAATCTTGACCAAAAGTGACCTAAGGAAAAGGACACATTTATTTTGTTGACAGTTTATAGTTCATAACGCAGAGATGCTGAGGCAATAATCTGGAGTCAGGCACCTGGAAGGAGGAAGTAAAGTTGAGCCCACAGAGAACTAGTGCCAGGATCAGGTCAACTGCCTTATTTTGTAAGACCCAGATCACCTTCCTGGGCTGGCCCTGCCTAAAGTGGGGTGTGCCCTCTTGTATCAAGTAGCACTTAAGAAAATGCTGCGCAAACAAAGGCACAGTACACTTGATCATGCTCCCTCTCGCAACTGACTCTACTTTGTGTCAAAGCAGCACAAAGTGTAAAGGCCTAAACACAATAGGTCTGATGCCTTTATAAGACAGTAAAGTAAATAACATATTCCCTTTCATACGGTAAGCAATAGCAAGTAAAGGCTATGCGAGACACATAACAAAAGTGGAGAAAATAGCCAACCATGCTAGAGCCATGATCCCCCACTGTCCTACATCTAGAACTCTGAGAGACAGTTTTTGTTACTTGAATCATCCAGTCTGATGTATGCCGTTATATAGAAAGATAAAGACAATGACATCAAGCCACCACCTGTGACAGACTGACTTATTATTTTACCACCAACTGCTAAAGATAACTCACTATACATTTTTCTTATGCCAAAAAGATTATTTTCACACTCTACATATATATAAGACATCCAATCAGAGAGTTGAACTTTAATAATCTTTCTCTTGTGGTCAGTGTTGCTTGTAATTATTGTCAATAAGAACAGAAAAATCAAACAGATGCTGAATTCAATTTTTCAATTTGATAGACATTTGGTAATTTTTTGATTTTTTAAAACATTAGATTCTTTAAAAAAGTACCAATTCAACTTCCCACTTCCTCCCCTCCTCCCATTCCCCTTCCCACTACACCCAGCCCAATCCTCAGACACGGTAAGGCACATTGCTTTGGGGAAGGTCCAAGACCTTCCCTACTATATACAGGCAGAGCAATGTATACACCCAAAGAGA